GGGGAGGGGGAATACAGCCAAGGGGAGGATGGGGTGGGGTGCAGCCGATGGGGCAGGCTAGTGAAACTCCGGATCAGTTTGTTCCGAAATGCTACTGCGTTTGAAATTTGAGTTTTAAGCTTCGAGAAGGTAGTGATCATCTGGAGTTTTTGCAAATGTGCTCCCAGTTCGCGTATTCTGCTTTGACGAACGACGACACCACGTTTTAAATTGAGAGTATATGGCCACGATACTGTCACCTCTCAACATCGTTTCGTCCCATGCTTAGTTTTTTCAGCATACGAGTTGTTTTAGGGCTGCAGTTCAAGGCAGTGCGGAAGATCTCAAACGCGCGGAACGAATTGCACAGGAAATCAGCAGTTCTGTGGCAAGCAAAGCGCGGGCGCAGCTGGAAAATGATGATGAGGAGCGTGATTTGGACAAAGAAACTCTGGAGCCGTTTCAGGTGCAGCCAAGCAACAGACGCCCAGGGTACGAGCATTTAACAAGGCTAATTTTAAATTATTTTCCAGCTGATTTTCTGAGCTTTTTGTTTTTGGACCGCTGGATTTTGATTTTCCCCCTTCCGCAGTACTCTCTTTTTGCCAGGAGTTTTGTAACTTCTTTCGTACAAGTTAGGGACGTCGAGGATGTTTTGCTGACTTCCTGAAGGTGGTAAAGGACTTCCTTTGTTTGCTGCGATCATCGAGAAAATTCTTCAGGCGTGGGAGTTATTCCGGACTCTCTCGAGACAGAGGTGGCATAAACAGGGGTGCACCGGGTGGCAGAAGACCGGAAGGCACGTATGGTCCTGGAAGAGGTTAGTTCGATTTATACATGAGTCAATGTTTTGCTGTTTTTTTTTACATTTGTGCCTTTTTTCTGTCTTTTTTTATGCAGTTAAAATATGGCGAAAAAACAAACAAAATGCGCCTGTCTTTGTTAAATTTTTCAAATTCTCGTATTTAGTAGATCTAGCACTTCATTTGGTGTGGAAGGGACGGTTGACTAAACACTGGGCAGTTTCAGTTGTTCCGAAAAACACATTTGGCCTTTTTAAACTTAAATGCTAGAGACTGCTGTCGATCTGATTATGAGTGATAATGAAGTAAAAGTCAGTGTCATCTTGCTAAAGGTGCGTATCAGAATATTCATTCCGTTTCGCAACGGTGTTATTGGACTACCTGAGTTTGCTAGTAATCCTAACTTTCAGCTTTTTCGCCAGGAAATAGCAGATCCCACGTTTTATATTTCAGTTTACGAGGCAGCATATATGAAACAAAAACATCAGGTGTTCGAACGACACCGCTGCAGAACGGAATGGGTATTGTGATGTGCACCCTTAGCTGTAGATCCTTTTCAGGAGATGAACTCACAAACCATTCCGTGAAAAAAATTGTTAAAAATCATTGGCGACGCGCACCGGGCGGGCCCATAAGATCATGCGTTTTTGCAGTATTTCGTGCTGTAATGAGATCGCTCGAAAACCTGGTAGCTAGGATTTGCGATATACTGGTTCTCGATGTTCGGGAAATTAGTTGTCTACGTGGTCCTTGGACAGGGAACATTCCGCTAAAATTTCAGCTTTCCAGCTTTTCTCGTTCTAGAGTTAGCAATTTTCCTGCCAAAAAATTTCATGGGTTCGTACATGAGAACCGTACGTATCTGGGAGCTGAATTTGATATCTTTAACTTTTACGGAGGCTGAGAACATACTCTTAAAATTTCAGCTTCCAGCTTTCCTTTTTCCGGAGTTAGCCATTTTTCAGCCAAAAAATTTTACGGGACAGTACGAGAGAACCACGAATACCTGAAGGCTGGATCTGGAAAATTTTTGTTGT